AATCCACCTTATCGGGATTCAATCCCGTGACCTTCTGGCTTGTAGCATAGTGCCCCTATATACATATATATAGAGAGAGAGAGAGAGCGAGAGAGAGCGAGAGCGAGAGGAGAGACACGACCTCCATATTTTATGTTAATTTTATACATTTTGTTCTCAAAACGTACCAAATCAGTTTAAATTAAACATGTCGGGGAATTAGAAGCACGTGATCGATGAAAACTCAATACGAGTGAAATGCTTTGATGCTATTCTACGCCGACGATCCATTTAAATTAAGCGCGGCATACTTATGTGACTTCTGTTCGCACGATTTCCTTTGCCCTGCGTGACAGCCGGATATGACACGTGAAGTGACATGAGAAAAAGGGCAAGTTTCATTACAGTTCTCGGAAACGCGTATCATAAACCTGTACACAACATAAGAGTAATTATAATTGGCTCGCTAAAGTAACAGGTTCATGTAAAACGGTTTTATGGCGAGCGCTTGATCGGATAAAGAGAAAGCAAACAGGTATGCGCATGCGTTCAGGCTGAGTTTCAGCTTCCAGCACTATGCCACAATCCGGAAGCTTGCGGGTTCGATTTCTGATGAGGTCATTGCATTTTTCAATTGACCTAATCCTTCCAGCCGCACTATGGCCCTGGGGTCGACTCAGCCTCTAACAGAAATGAGTACCAGGAATCTTCCTGGGGGTAAAGGGGGGAGTCGAGTAACTCTGACCTCACCTCCACCTGTGAACTGTCTAGAAAAATGTGGCAGACTCGACGTCTCTCAACCCCATGGGCCTCCACGACCTGTTACAGCAATAACGTTGCCTTTTTTACATTATTATTTCTGGGATGTGACACCGTGCGATCTGGTATAAGTTTTAACTACATTCCAAAGGAATGTACTGTCCGGATCTTCAGGGTAGAAGAGTAAGCCAAACAAGTAACACGCCAAGTAATATTTACTTGACTTACCCTTCATCCCTGAACACAGTGGCAGTACGTTCCTTTGAAACATGTAAACTTCTACCAGAATAAACGGCGTCACAAATTACATATTAATCCTCACAGTCATTGCCGTGAGGACCAACTGGGAAGGATCTGGTATGAAGCGATCGTAGCCTATTCACTATGTCGAAATGTCCGAAAAGTAACGAAAACGGTCCCGACAGTATTCGAACCGGATGTCTCCATAATATAAGTAAGACTAAGCTCTTGATATAAAGCGGTTTTCAGTCCCAGATCCAGTACCCGCTTTCTAACTGAAATTGATATTTCACTAATTTTGAAATTCCTACTATGACGCGTACTTGATCTAGGATAGCAAAACCGGTACAGCCGCGGGCTACTAGCTGGAGGTTCGTTTCCCGATAAGGGACAGATATTTGTCTCTTTTCTACTCGTCCAAACCTTTTCTGGAGCCCACTCAACCTCCCACCCAATGGATATCTGGGGGTTCTTTCCCCACAGGTAAAGCGGCTGGGGCGTGGAGCTAACGATTCACCTAAATCTAGTGCCGAGGTAAAGAAAGGTTGAGCTATACTTTCACTTACCCATACTTCATTGCAGCATGGTACTTAATTAAGTACAGGGGAAACTTGCATTATTATTATTATTATTATTATTATTATTATTATTATTATTATTATTATGTATACAACGCAGCACGTAAAATATGAATATAAAATGTAAGGTACATTTCAGACTGTGATCCATCTGGTAAAAGGGAGATTTATTAAATTTTGTTGTTTGAACAAAATAATCCCTAGGGAACAGAAACCAGAAATATACAGCACATTCATAGTGTACTTTAACCCCCGTACCTGTAATAATTGAATGTTTTCTTAGCTCTCGCAGATGGTCCGTGCTGTGCTTTGCTTGCATACACAGTCTTGGTGTTGGTACAATGTCGTCCAGTGATAGGGAGTAGCTATATCGACTGGGCCCAACTGAGTAGGTTTTACCTGGAGTCGGAGACAGAATTCAGTCTCCGAAACGCTGTGTTTTGAAAAATAAGCAGGACGGTGTTTTTAGATAAAGAGAGAACCATGGATAATGTCCAGAAACACCATATTCATATTAGGCTACAGCACGATTTGCTGCAATCCAGTCCCATATTTCAAAGAAACTTGCACGACGCAACACACAAGTAATCGTGTTTCGGGACAACATCAAACCTGTGGCATAAGCCAGTTGTGTCTTTGTCTTTAGGTACGATGTGGATGTGTTGCGTGGCCCTGATGGTTGTGTCTCTCGTAGGGGCAGACAGGGACGCTCGTTGGTTGCTAAGAGGGACGGGACCCGTGGAGGAGGTACGAACCGTGACGCTGACCAAGATGGCGTCCTGTGTTGAGGTGGCGCCATCTCTCCCGCCCTGTGGAGAGCCAGAAATAGCGCCAACCGCCCCTACTCAGTAAGTGTCCTTTTCCGCTTCATTCCTAGAGCCTTCAGGCTCTGAACTGACGTCACTTATACTTTCCAGCTTTTCAGAGTTCAGAATGTGAAATCCCACCACGGGCGCCGGAACGCAGAGAGGGTCAATGCATTTAGAATTCATGATATTTTGGAAAAAAAAAAAAAAGAAAAATCGAAACTGAAGTATCGAAAGAAATGTACCAAATATGCACTGAAAAATTCATACTCCTGTCCTGTATATTCTAGCAGGATCAATAAAAATATATGTAAATGCCTTAAACATGTCTGCCCCTGCTGAAAAATACCACTTAGGTGCCCATGCATCTTATCATGTTAAACTGGGGCAATGATTCCACGCTACAGAGCTCTCATTGAGAACCTAAGAGTTTCTGCTCAAGAAAGTCCCCATGTTTTATAGAGCCTGAAAAATTCTTACCACCTTCACAACAGCCTGTCACCGGGCCTTATCCTGAGCCAGTTAAATTCAATACGCATTCTCCAACTCTATTTCTTAAAAGACACATTTTAATTCATCTTCCTATCTACACATATGTTCTTTAAATTTTTCCTTCCCTCCAAGTTTACCAACTAAAATTTTATATTTATTGCTCATCTCCATAAATTCTATATGTCTGTCAATCTCACCCTTCCCACTTGATCACCTTAATCATATTTGCCAAAGTGTACAAATATTGGAGGTCCTCATTATGCAAGTAACTCATTTACCAGCCAATCAACTAACTAAACTAATTAATCAACCAACTAACTAACTGTATAATCAACCAAGACCAATCAGTGGTCATGAACGAATGGCAAACTCATGGAATTAGCAGGCTAAAAGGTAAAATAATTTATATATTTTTAAGAATGTGGTGGGGGGGGAGAGGCATGCAGTAGCATGGATGAGGCAATATGCTACAAGCCAGAAGGTTGCAGGTTTGATTCCTGATGAGGTCACTGGAATTTTCAATTGACCTAATCCTTGCAGCTGCACTATGGTCCAGGAGTCAACTCAGCTTCTAATAGAAATGGGTACCAGATATCTCCCTAGGGGTAAAGAGCGGCCNCAGCTTCTAATAGAAATGGGTACCAGGTATCTCCCTAGGGGTAAAGGGCGGCCTGTTGACAATCTCACCGCCATCTGTGAGCCGATTGTATAGAAAATGTGGGAACCTTCACATCTCACAACCCTGTTGGAATGTTGACATTGCTTGTGGAGTAGATAGGCGTAACCTGGAATTTGATATCATTTTGGAAGATTGAGGCAATCTATTCCTCCAAAATGTTCAGGCCTCAATATTCCCTCAGATTACTAACTAAAGATGAAACACTGGTACCTGAAAATGGAGGAAGTATGTTTTAGAACCTTGGTCCCTGAAGATGGAGTCATCCTGTTCTTATGGAATGCCTGAACCTTAAGATGGAGGCACTGTGTGACTCCTAAATGTTGATAACTGAAGATGGAAACAATATGTCCACGCTGGTCCCTGAAGACAGAAGCAGCATTTTCCTCCAAAATGTTGGTAACACCCATTACACCCTGTTGTGTCACAACTTAGAAAGTCACAATTTGAGTCTTCATGGTCACAGGAGCCTCAGTCTCTCACATGCAAATTTTTATTTTCAGGATCATGGCAACAAAAGCAGCATCAATGCATGAAATGTCACGAGGTCAAAGATGGCTCACAGGCTCTAAGGAGGCTCCAGGCTGGGGCGAGTACTTTGGCCTGAAACAAGCCACTATCACAAATACCATCACGCACTATGAGACCGCTTCTTACACTGACCCTCAGGCTGTGATAACCTTTTCTGTTGTGGGATGCCAGCCCTCGCGCCTGCCCTTCGATTTGCCATATTGCAAGACTTCAGCACCCACTATAACTGGTCAATAGCTGCTGTGTTTGTAACATGTATAGTGAAAAGCATGAAGTTGGCCACTACTTTCATAACTGGTCAGATAATTATGGAACAAACAAAATCATATTTGTTTACAGATGGTCAATCCTCGTAACTTGGCTGCCTGCCTATCTTCTATCTTGTCCACCTTCTCTCATTTCATGCTGTGGTTTTGTACATATTTTATAACTTTTCAGTGTTAGTGACAGAAAAGAATGACTGATTGATAAAACTAGTCCCTATCTCTGGACACCTGTACAAGCACCAAGATAGGGTACACAGACCATCTGCCAGAGCTGAGACAAAACATAAAATATTAAAAACTCTACACATATAAGGCTTTGCACCAGAGAATTATCAAGATAGAAATCATCAATGTAGAGACGAAATTCTCCATATGGTACCAACACAAGAAAAACAAATTGTCCCACTCAATCTACACTGTACAGAGTTGTAGCTTCTTGACTTCTGCTGTGATAATGGGAGTCCTGACATGAGAGATGTCCAAGCTGGGTTGACTGATTGGATGGTCTACCAGAGATATGTAGGCAGATTCCTTGTATTTGCAGTATGTGGTGTTTGGTTCAATGTGCATGACCTTCCTTTCTTTCAAAAATTTTATGGCCTTCTTCATATGCATGTTGGGCTAAGTTTGATTTTTCAAGCAGACCTTGTGTCAGGTTATATTTGTGCTCTTTAATGTGTACTGTTAAGTTCTGCTTGTTTCACTGATGTAACACTTGCCACAATCACATGGGATACTGTACACACTGCTTCATCTGCTGGGCATCTCTAACTGGTCCAGCTTTTATCAACGTCTGAGACTGAAACAGTTCCCAGTGTGTCTGAATTTCTCAGAAATACCCTTAACATATGGGATAGTGACAGTACCCTGGTCTATTTTGTCTGAGGAAGGATAGATACTTCTCAATGGCTTTATTACAGAGTCAACAAATTCTTCTGGGTATTCGTTATGCATCAGAACACATCTTATGCTTTTAATTTTGTTGTTGGAATCCTTCTGATCCTGACATATGACTGTCACTAAAATTTGGTCAACCAAATGAAGGTCATATATCAGGATCTGAAGATTAGGTAGGTTTTACCTGAAGATAGAGACAGAACACAGTGTCAAAAACGTTGTGTTTTGAAATATAAACATGAAGGTGTTTTAGATAAAAACAAGACCATGGATAATGTCCAGAAATATAATATTTATACATTTACTGAGGTCTGCTTGATGTGTATAAGCATGTCCAGCCAGTGAGAATAAACAATTTACACTGTGATCAAGACATGACACTGGATAATACTGATCATTTAATTTGTTTTGCAAGCCAAAATTATGTACATCATATCACAAATATGATTATTAAAAGTATAAAACTTTGTATGCACATTCAAAGGAATTAATTAAAAATTTCATTCAGTTTAAATAACATTACTGCCTTAACATTCTCATTTCCATTCTCTGAAGACACGAAATATGCAGGGAGTACCATCAAATAAGTAGAGATATTTTTTTGAGTTTCAGGGTGAATTGAACCTTTTTATATATAAACTGTTTTGTTGTGGAATGTTAACATTTCCTGGCAATACTGACAAAGCTTTCAGATTCTACCACAAAGAGGCAGTTGCACACTGAAATTCAAAATGGCAGATATGTGAGATGAGAGAGATTAATTTGATCTACTTTGGCATTTTATATATTCCTTCTACCACAGATATATAATCAGCATTGGCACAATAATTTGTAGAGGTTTAAGGTGATTTTTCACCTGATACATGCTTCTGATGGCTTCTAGGTACCTATTTGAACAGCTACAATGAACTTATAAACATAATCTGGAATTAAAAATTACAAATAAATACAATAATAAATATCCCGATAAAGAACTTCTGTGAGGGACACTGTTATAGAGGCTAATTTCAGAATGTCCCTGTTCTAGACCTCCTCGTCAACCTGTACGCTCACGACCAACTTCTCACCGTCTGTTTCCTTATTATCATCCTTCCTATCAGCAGGGCCTGTGAATTTGTATCCTGGTTCAGCATTGGTAGCGACATAAGGGGGTTGACCGATAGTGCTATGAGGGGGTGGTGTGACAATAACATGATGGGGTGGCTTAGTGGTTGGGTAGTAAGGTGGTCTGTTCACGGGGCGATGGGGAGGTTTTGTGGGTACGTAGATGGGTGGCTTCTGTGATGGCTGTCTTTGACAGAAGGGGATCTTCAGGTCGCTGGGCACACAGTTCTTTGCTTCCAGGGTGGCGGTAACACGGTAGTCCGTCACCTTCTGCACCTTGGTGACCCACACTGTATGTGTGGCAATGTGGGTCTGCGGCCGCAGATGCAAGAGACGTCCATTGTTGTCTGCAGAGTCGGTGGTGGGGACTTCTGGAGTCTTCCTGCGGAATTCCAGGTACCGGTCCTCACGTGATGGCTCCAGTTCTACTGTGTCCTCTCCCCCCTGTGGCAGTGTGGGTCCTGTCGTTGCAGCTGGTATCCTACACATTGGTATCACTTGAAGGTTGCAGGTTTGTGTATGTGTGTGTGTGTGTGTGTGTGTGTGTGGGTGTACAAGCAATGTGTCTGCCTTCATCCATGGATACAAGCAGCTGCTCACTCACGCATTTAGACTAAAATATTTTTAACCATACTTATCGCCAAATTACTGATTATAAATATGATGACATTGTTTCCATAAAAATCCAGTTTTTTCATGAAGAAGGGGTCATCAAGGAAATTGCAAGACCTCTTTAAGTGTTTATGAATACTGTGGAGTGCTTGTTGTTTATATAGCATGCAGCATGCATGGAGATAAGTGGAGAGATAACAAATGCATACAAATATTTTATAGGAAAACCTGAAGGATAGAGACCAGTTGAAAGATCTAGGCATAGATGTTGAGATAATATTAAAATAGACGTTAATGAAATTAGATGGAAGGGGGGGTCTGAATTCATCTGACTGTCAACAGGAACCAGTGAGAGCCTGTTATAAAAATGTTACTAAACCTTCAGGTTTATAAGATACAAAGTTACTCAGGATATCTTGACTAGTTAAGCAACTATTAATGTATCATGATTTACTAACAAAATGTCACCCTCTTCGTGTGATGTAAATATATCAAGGAGATGTAAGAGCTGAAGCTTTCTGGGCAGCTGAAGTTGGTAAAATCTTCTCAGACTATCGGCCATGGGAATTAAAAATTTAAAAATTCATTATCAGACACTGATGATTTGGATAGAGATGATGCCTGAAACGTCCGCAATTTTTAACCAATTGATACGTCTAACAATCCGACAAGGTCTTATCTGTATCAAGGAGATTGCCCCATTAATTAACGTGAATCGGTTCCATGAAATGTCGATTAACGAACCCAATTATAACACCTGTTTGCTTTCTATTGTAGAGCCCATAATCTCATTAATTTCGTTACGAGAGTTGCAAAATCTCACAAAACATAACATAGATCACACTCTCTCAGTACTTGTCGACGACCTGACTGACCTTGTGAACACTGAAAGTAAGTGCGTACATTTAACAATCGTAGATTTATCGAGGTACGGCGGTTGTGAGAGTATCGATAGATCGGATAGTCGATTATCGGAGGATGTACCGGTGCTGCATTTTCATCACACATGCTAAAGCTGATTCTAGCACTCACCTGAGTACGGAGGTAGGCTCGATATAGAGCCCCTCCTGCTGATCGTCTTCCCAGAGTGAAGCTTCTTCAGGTGACTCGTTGCGCTTCCAGCAATCGGGCCCACCGGCCACGCTGTGGCCTATGTGCAGGTCAGCAGGCAAGCAAGGCGGCTTCACGCCGTACACGGTCATGCAGACTGGGTGACGAGTGATTCGTTTTGTCACCTGCACACAGTTAATCCGTGGTTTGGTATTGCAACAATTACACTGCACTTTAACAAGCATTTCGCAAGCACATTTAGATAACTACCTAACTAACTAACCCCACAAAGCACAGTACTTCTTGAGCAGCTAACAGTTGCTCAGCCACCCAGATCCATTTTAATATTAGAGACAGACCTTCCAAAAGGTCTGGTTTCTTCAGGACAAATATATGAAAGCCAACAACTGATGTTATAAAATAAATATATAATTTGTTACTCTTTATATGTGTGAACTTTGGCAGGTATGGCACGGAAGGACTCAACATGATACGGCAGGGTATAACAGGACAACGTAAGACACGATGGGACTGAACAGGACACGACAGGTCACAACAGGACAAAACAGGACAGCAGGACACGTAAAGCACAACAGGACACACCGGGTGCAACTGAACGAAGCAGGACACGACGGGACACAAGAGGTATGGCTGGACAAAACAGGACACATGAGGAGATGGCAGGAGAAAACAGGACACGACAGGACCCATGAGGATATGGAAGGACATAAGAAGACAGGACAGAAAAAATACATTTTTAAAATTGCACCGATACATTTTTCTCGTGAATTAATATTTTTAGAAGCCCATTTTTAAGCTAACGACTATTTCTAACTCCAAGCACTGTTAAATGGTTACAATCTGGCAATTTCATGGAAACGAATTGGCACGAAAATGGCCAACATCAGCCCTTATGATACTGTACCTCGGCGTACAGGGTCTTCGTGGCAGTGACGGTGTCCCTCAGGGGAAACAGTGGGTTCTGAAGGGGTGGGAAGGACGGGAGGGGTGGTAGGGGAGGCAAATGAATTGTGAGCGGCGGATTCGTTATGACGTCGCGATGCTCGTCTTCCACGTCTAGGGCGTCGACTGCTTCCACTTGGTCCGCGTCTTTCTCCAGGGCGCCCATGCTCCCTGCGACTTCTTCCAGAGTGGAGGCCCCGAAATCAACGGTAGAGGCGCCGGGCTCCACGAACCCACAGAGCAGAGTGACTGGCAGGAACGCTATCCACAGTCGCATGCTGAGAAAACACCTATCAGAGGTCATGTGACGTCGTGAAGTCTGGTAGAAGGGCACAAATATTTTAGAGGAACATGTGGGTTCCATTTTAAGATCCTCTGAGGCTGGAACGCTGGTACCTTCATACCAGACCACACCGTTTTACATCCAACACGACAATCTTTACAAATCAAACAAGAAGATCTGGGAAGAACAAATCGCCTAATTTCCTTTGATACGACACGATAGAAAAGGTAAAGTTATCCTTGTGCTGAAAAATTAAGCACTACGCCATGAAGACGTATGCGGGAGTGGATGTATAGATCAACGTGTTCTTGACCTTGGCACTAGTTTGAGGTGAGTGGTCAGCTTCACGCCCCGTCCGCTTTACCCACGGGGAAAGAGCCCCCGGTACCCATTGCACAGGAGGCTGGGTGGGGCCCAGAGCCAGTCTGGACGACGTGGAGAAGACAAAATTCTTGACCTTACGGGACTCGAACTCCGACCTCTGCGTCAAGCTCGTAACCGTCCGCTACACGATATGACACGGATCGTATAAAAACCAAAAAACTAAAGGGGGAAAAACAGACACACAAACAGAAGCGTGATCTCATAAGCCTCCTTTTATTTGCTCTAGATACGGAAATTAGGATAAAACAGGTGGAGAGGTTACTTTCCGTTCCACTTTCTTGCGCTTTTACATGGCGCACCTGGAGAAAAATAGATGAGAACCATGACGTCAAGACTGGTGCTTTGTTCAACTTTAGCGGCCCGTGAGCTTAGTGCAAGGGGCTAAATATGCCTACGAGATTTGAAATAAACTTATACCGGTAACTTTTCAATTCAGAAAGCGCTTAACAAGTTTCACCGAAATCAACTGGGTACTTTCAGACGAGAAACGCCGACGGACGGACATAACCTCCTCATGAGCTGCAAACGTCATGAAGTTCATGCAAAGAACAAAAAGAAATACGCACTTCATCCGTGTTCTTAATTTGACGATGGATATAAACAGACAAAGAAACAAAGAAGCACATTAACTAAGTAACCAACAAAATAAACAAACACAACTTAACTGTGTAGAATTTGAGGTTCTCACAGCGGTGGTTATGTAGACCTCTATCTTCTGGAATATAACGCCGTGTAGTCCGATGAAAGTCAACTGACGTTTCGGAGGAACATATTGCCTTTATCTCCACGGCAGAATACTAAACCGTGCAAGAAACCTGAATAAAAGCAGGTGGAAAGCAAAGCCACGGATCTGAAGATGAAGACGATATGTTCCCCTGAAACGTCAGTTCGGTTTCAATGGACTGCAAGACGTTACTAAAAGAACAACTACCAAACTTACCAGATAACTGAATGAACAGTTAAATAACTAACTGACTGGTTGGTTGAATGCACAATTAACTGAACAAGCAATCGAACTTACTGAACAAAAAAAAAAAAAAAAAAAA